AGCGGCAGCCCGCTGGCCAAGACGCATGGGCGCGACGGCCGGCGTTCAGAGCATGTGAAAACGTGTTTTGAAACGCGTTCACCACGAAAAACAAAGTAAAACGGAACCAGATGGGCCCCAACCCCGTGGAGGTCCTCCTGGGGTGGGAGATGCTGGGGAGGGGGGAGGAGGAGGAGGAGAAGGAGGAGGAGGAGGAGGAGGAGGAGGAGGAGGAGGGGTCGGATTAAGGTGGAAAGGGGCAGGAGGACCAGGGGACGGCGGAGGAGGGGAAAGGATGGGGCGACAACGAACGACGAGGAACGACTCGGACCTAGGACTGCGGCTCGCTCCGGGGCGAGAGCTCCATTCGGAACGACGGGAGCACCACTTGATACACCGAGGACGGACGCTCCTATGGGGAAAACACATGGAAGACATCCTGTGTGGAACAAATAGAGGGCGGCACACTTTCAGGACATACTCGGGGGAGGTTTGACAGTAGTCATTCGTCTCCAGACCATATGCTTGCACCTAGGGTTTCCCAGTTCTCCTCTAAGGAAATGGGCTTGCCTGTCTGTCTGGCCGCTGTGTTGCCGCCAGTCGTCAGGGCCTGTTTGTCGGTCGCCGCACTGTGTTGCCGCCTCGTCACCACCCCGTGGCCACCTCGTCGCCGCCTCATCACCGCCCGCGATCTGGGCCTGTTTGTCGGTCGCCGCGCTTGTTGCCGCCGTCGCCGCCCCGTCGCCGCCTCGTCGCCACCCGTTGTCAGGGCCTGTTTGTCAGCCGCCGCGCTTGCTGTCGTCGTCGCCGCCTTCACATATTGCACCCCTTATATTGCACCGCCTAGGCTGCAACACATAGATTGCGACCCACATAGGTCGCACACCATAGATGAGACATCTAGACTGTACACATCAGCTATGGAACAACTATGGAACAACATTTTTCGACGTGGATAAGATCTACCAAACCATGGCAAGCGACTTCGAGGAACCGGAGTACGTGGTATGTAACGACTTGTTATACGCGGACGACACAGTTTTTCTGATTGCCAGCCCGGTGAAGTTACAAATCATATTGGACTTGATCATACAAGAGGGCGAAAAGTATGGGCTGGAACTCAATTGGAAGAAAACAATGATGATGAAAGTGCGTAACATCGGTCAAGTGTATTCACCGGATGGTCAACCGTTGAAATCCGTGGAACAGGCTGTATGCTTGGGGGCTTATTGAATACGACAGTGAACAGCAAACCAGAGGTGACCCGGCGAATTGGCGAAGCAAAAAGAGTATTCAAACAATTAGAAGCATGTTGGAACCATGCAAATATTTCAAAACATGGAAAGTTGGAGATATTCCGATCAGTGATACTTCCCAATCTTCTCTACAACTTGGAGTCTGTGTGGCTTCTCAAAGTAGACCGGAACAGACTCGACAGTTTTCAAGCGGCTTGCTTGCGACAGATCCTGAAAATACCTCATTCGTACGTGTCGAGAGTACCAAATGTTGAGGTGAGGGCACGTGCAGGCGCACGCCCACTGAGCGACGACCTCTTAGAACAACAAGGCAAATTGTATAGCAAGATAGCACGATTGCCAGATGGTCATATCCTACGAGACCTCGTGTGTGAGCCTGGAGGGAACACACCAAGGCAATGGTACCGCAAACGCAAACGCGGACGCCCGAAGCTACAGTGGGGGGCGTGTGTTTTCCCGTACGCTTTCTGATCACGCCTGCAATCTTCGCATGTTGAATTCGAACAGTCATGAACTGCCGCTGCGCCGTTTGGGCGCCTGGCTTCCTGCTGCTGCTGCATGCATTGCGCAGCATAGATTGTGCGCCGTGCGCTGCAACATGTATTGCACCTTGTAGATCGCACAGATATTGCGCAACATAGGTTTCACAACCTAGATTGCACCACCTATGTTGCTCCGCATCGATTGCGCAACCTGTATTGCACTACATCGGAGCACAACAAGTATACAGATACACCTTTTCTGTCCGCTGGGGGCCCTGAAATCTGAGTAGCGCAGGATGGTGGTCGTGGCAGTGTACTTAGCAGCCGCAGTGGCGTTGACCCGCTGAGGACGGCGCAGGCCCTCCCAGGGGGTGTCAGCCGGTTGTGCAGGCCCCAGCCGGCCCTGCCCCGTGCGACGAAGCCAGGCCAGTCTGGCAGAAAACATGGGTGTATACCATCAACCCATCAAAACACGGCTAGACGTATACACCGAAAAGTGCACGCCAGATCGGTGTATACCATCAACCCACTAAAAACACGAACATGGTATACACCGAAAACGGTATACACCGATACCTGGACTGCGTTTCGCCGCCGGGGGCGGGGGCGGCTGGGGTCCGCGGAATCCGGCTCATTCCTGGTGGGCGATTGAATGCGAGCTCGCGTATGCGCGTCTGCACGTACGCAGCCGCGCGCATGCATTCACGCGGCGCGAGAAACACGATGAGGTTGGCAAATTCCATCGAAGCAGGAAAGGTGTATCTGTATAGTCGTTGTCCTCCCACTACACATGTTGCCATATACTGCGCTGCATGTGTTGCACATCATGTTTGAGGCCACATGGGTTGCTTCACGTAGATTGTACCACATAGAGTACACGCCATATATTGCACACCATATTTTGCACACAGACACCGCACCACATACATCGCATCACATAGTTTGCTTCGCATGGATTGCAGAGCATACGTTGCGCCTCAACTATCACGGCACTTATACTGCGCCACATAGGGTGCACAACACACATATATATATATATATCCATATATATATATATATATATATATTGCACACCATATACGGTGCGCTACACACATATGTATGAATATATACATATATACATATATATATATATATGTATGCACATATATATAGCCCTCTGAACCCACCAAGAACACCCCTTTCTCATGATTATATATGAATTTATATATGATTCCTACGATTTTCAGCCTCATTTTTGAGGCTCTTTTTTGGAAGAAGACTCTTTGGGCTCAACTCCCTCCGTCTCCAACACAACACCCAGTACTCAACAGCTTCCTTCTCCAACACAACACACGATACTCAACAAGCTCCCTCCCCAAGCTGAACTTGACAATAACCTTCTACTCAACTCCCTCCGTCTCCAACACAACGCCCAGTACTCAACAGCCTCCTTCTCCAACACACCACCCCGCACTCAACAGGCTCCCTCCCCAAACTGAACTTGAAAATAACCTTGTACTCAACTCCCTCCGTCTCCAACACAACACCCAGTACTCAACAGCCTCCTTCTCCAACACAACACCCGATACTCA